CGTATAGCCTTACCTAACGTTTAATTTTACAGTGTGAATTGGCCTTAAGGCAAGCAACACTTCCGTATAACTGGTTATTTTGTGACTATTATTTTATTTTTAGTTATTTTGTGTAAAATTGATCAAAATTTTGTATGCCAGACACTTCATTTTGATTCATTTTCAAAATATAACATTGAAATTGCAGATCATGGACAATATTTAATACCCTCAAAATACTCTATAAATTATTAGCACATATAAATATATCTTACCATGTTCTTTTTTTCTAAGTTGATCTAGCAGAACTGAATCTTGTTTAATTAATGATAAAAAGAGACTTGCTCTCTCAACGTAGCTCCTCGTCTTAATTTCCTTGATTTTAGGTATGTCAACATTTTCTGTCATTGCATAATGAAATAGTTCAAGTGATTCTAATGTTGACAGTTCACTCTCTTCATCTTTTTTAATATAATTAATTAGAACGAATCCCTCTTGATCAGTATCTAATGATCTTGCTAGCCACCATCCTTCTGTACGCTCTTTCTTGATCTCAAATTTCTCTCCCTTCTTGATTGAAAGCTGAGTACTATTTGTTGCCTCCCAGTTTTTAATAGCTACATAAACTGACCCTTTTGGTGGATCTAATGATTGTGTAGATTGATCCTTTCCTAAAATACCAGTACTAGTCATTACATTAATATAATGTACTACATACTAAGAGTAATTGAAGTCTCTTTCAGTTGTTGTATATTCATTAATGATATCTTTTCCTGTAACTGTTCTATCTCATTTTCTCTTTCAATTAATGTTTTCTCTACTCCAAATAATGTTTCTTGTATTTCTAGTCATTAAAAAGAGTCGTTAATACAAACGATATGCAAAAATTGGTCACTAGTTTAAAATATTAATCGATAATTTGTGTATTATTTAATTACATGTAAGAAGGATCAGTATTAGTATTGAGTATATACAATCATCCTCCTACTATATAACAAATTGATGTACAAGCAATAATGATACTCTAAACACAGCTATACTGTATTGTCATTATACAGTATTAAGTACCGTATATCGGGTATATTTCAATGCATTAATAATTTTGGAAAAAGCAATCCATTGCGCCATTGTGAAAATAAATATTATGAAAATTTAAAATATGTGGATAAAAAGAAATAGAAGATATGTGGTATTGTGCAATTATTATAAGCTTCAATCATAACTCCATGGCTTCTTTCTATTCTAACTCGAAGGCCATAAAGAGCATTCTTTG